AGACAGGATGGACCCAAGCCATTTAGGGCTCTAAAGGTAATAAGCAACACCTTGTACTGAGCCCGGAAACTAATAGGAAGCCAGTGAAGAGACTTCAAAATAGGTGTTATGTGGTCTCTCCTAGATGTCCCCAAGACCAATCTGGCTGCCATGTTCTGTACTAACTGAAGTTTCTGGACCAAGCACGAGGGTAGCCTCATGTAGAGCGCATTACAGAAATCGAGACGGGAGGTTACCAGCACGTGTACTACAATTTCCAAGTCCCTTACTTCCAGGAAAGGGTGCAGCTGGCATATAAGCCGAAGCTGATAACAGGCGCTCCTGTTACATTTACCTGATTAGTCATCTGGAGCGACAGGTCCAGGAGCACCCCCAGACTGCAAACACAGTCCTTAGCAGAGAGTGTGACCCCTTCCAGGACTGGAGGTTGTATCTCAATTCCTGGTTTCAGGGCCGTTACTGCAAGTACCTCCATTTTTTCTGGATTTAGTCTCAATCTGTTTTTCCTCATCCATTCCATTACTGCCTTAAGACAATCACTGAGAGGAGAGACGCCATCAGAAGACAAGGCTGACGACTGAGGCATGGAGAAATATATCTGGGTGTCATCAGCGTACTGATAACACCACGTCCCATGCCTCCAGATGATCTCTCCCAGCAGCTTTATATATATATTAAACAGCATTGGGGACAGGATGGTGCCTTAAGGGACCCCACAATTAAGCTCTTTTATTGTAGAGCAACTGTCCCCAAGCCTCACCCTCTCCGACCTGCCCAAGAGGAAGGAACGGAACCACCGCAATGCAGTGCCTCCAATTCCTAACCCTCCCAGGCAATCCAAAAGAATGGTATGATCAATTGTATCAAAAGCCGCTGAGAGGTCCAATAGCACCAACAGAGTTACACTACCCCTGTCGATGCTAAGATGGAGGTCATCAGCCAAGGCAACCATGGCAGTCTCCACTCCAAATCCTGTCCTAAAGCCAGTTTGAAATGGATCTAGATAATTGATTTCTTCCAAGGCAGCTTGGAGTTGAAGAGCAACTGCCCTCTCAATCATTTTGCTTAAAAAAGGTAGTAATAAGACTGGCCTGTAGTTATTCATATCCAGGGGGGCCAGGGAAGGTTTTTTCAGAAGCGGCCTAACCACTGCTTCTTTCAAACAAGGTAGAATATAGCCTTCCCTGAGGGACGCATTGACGACGTCCTTAAGGAACATTCTCAATGCGTCTCCCCCCTAGATAGCCAGCCATGATGGGCAAGGATCGAGAGGGCAGGTTGTTTTCCTCACTCTACCAAGGAGCTTGTCCACGTCATCGGTACTCACAGATTGAAACTGATCCAGTACAATTTCATTAACGGAGTTGCTGGACACCTCGTCACTTGATTCCATTATAATATTGGCATCCAAGTTGGCTCTGAGAGATTTTATCTGCAAAGAAGTTGTTAAACGCGTTGTAGCAGGCCGTTGTCAGTTTCCATGGAAGGACAGGCTGGTCCCTTTTCTGCTCTTCTTTCAGTGGTAGGTAAATACCTTTTTATCTAAACAGACATTTGATTATTAATTGGTTATGCAAATGAGTCTTTGGGGTGGTAGTTCTGTATATTTTTTTTGCTGCATTATTTTTAAAATTGATTTTATACTTTTTAAATTAGTGGTGTTTTCAAACACTAGCTTCTTTGATTGTGTTTTTTTACGTTTTATCAACAGTTTTCATCATCTTTTATCTTATTTAACCTTGTTGTAAGCCACTCTGGGTTCCTTCTTAGGAGAAAGATGGGATATAAAATAAATAAATGGGTGTTTTAGTTTTCATAATGTATACAAATTGAAAAAAAAGACTTACCAGAGGACCTGAAGATGGCAATGGTGGAGGTGATGGACCTCCTGAAGATGTTGATGGAAGAGGAGGTGGTGGTGGTGTTCCTCCAGAAGAAGGTGATGGAAGAGGAGGTGGTGGTGGTGGTGGTGGTGGGCCTCCACAAGAAGGTGTTGGAAGAGGTGGTGGTGGTGGAGGAGGAGCTGGACCTCCAGAAAATGGTGGTGGAAGAGGAGGGGGAGGTGGTGGACCTCCAGAAAGAGACGGTGGAAGGGGAGGAGGAGGTGGCGGAGGTGGCACAGGCATCTCTCTGATTTCTATTTTCAGTTTATTTCTATTTTCAGTTACAGATACAATGCTGTGGGAGGAAAAAGAAAATTCAATTTACACTGAATATGTAAACTGAGAAGAAGTGACTTCTAGTGTGATGCTCTACAAAGCTGAAGCCTTTTCATACACCATAGATCTGGATGGGTGGATTGATGGGATAAGCCATAACTTTTTCTCACTGTCCCCCATAACACACGCATGTATTCATAACAGTTGTCTGAGTTCGGGAAAAAACATTTGTGCAATTCCACAAAATCATTGTTACCACTGATAAACTAAAATGGAAAGTTTTTTTTTAAATCAACCAATTGCAAGACATCCTGACATTTCAAAACATTGCTCAGTGGAAATGGGAAAACAGTAGTTAAGCATGAGAACTGTCATCCTGTCTTTAAGTAGTTCTCACTGAGGTGTTAAACCAGTCCCCCCTGTGTCTGCCTTCCTGAGCCTTATTTACCTGACTTGACTTGGGGGACCTTGGTTCTGCTGAGAAGCAACAGCTGAGAAGCCTAAATTTACACAAAATAGCTCAATACCCTTCTTTGTTACTAAGGGCAAGCTGATGATACTCCAGCTTCTCCATGATACTGGCTGATATAAGACTTGCATCCCTTCTTCTTCAAGGTTAATTCAACAATCTTCCTGCTCAAGATTCAGGTTTCTGAACATACAATTCCAGCGGTGTAGTCCAGATTACAATCATTTAGCAATGATCTTAAATTTAAAGGCCAACTTTGCTAGTGAGACCCGTTCCACAAAATGGTCAGTCAATGCACATTTGTCAATGTATGTTCTTACAGCTTCTTAAAGTATAATTTGTCTTAAAAGTCAAGTTCATAAGCAATATGTTGAAAGCCTTAATGCAATGTTCTGTGGACAAATTCATACTCTGGGTTGGATTTTCTTTTACATCAAGAATAAGGGATATACTGCTGCTGTGTGCCTTCAAGTCGTTTCTATGATGACCCTAAGGCAAACCTATCATGGAGTTTTCTTGGAGAGATTTGTTGAGAGGGAATTTGCTTTTGCCTTCCTCAGAGGCTGCCAGAGTGGGGCTTCCCCAAGGTTACACAATAGGTTTTCATGGGTGAGCCGGAATTCAAATTCTGGTCTCAAATGTTTAAACCACTACACCACACTGGCTCTCATAAGGAACATAAGACTCTCCATATGTTTGTTAGACTACTGTACATCATCAATCAGACCTCATCATTGCCTATGCTGTCAAGAAATTTTGAGAGCTACAGTCCAACATCATCTTCCCTATCTCTACTTTTATTTGGCGCAACACATTTCCCCCATGCCTCCTTTTTTTCAGAGGTCTTTGCCCCCAAATGTGAGCTCAAGGAAGAGGTGGGCACCACTTAAGAGTCTAGACTAGAGACCAACCCATAGACTCTCTTGATCTGGCATCCAAAGTAATGCTAGAAATAATACTCCTAATGCTATGATTGAAAGATAGGCTCAAGACACAATATGAATAAATACATGATGTACTCTGTACTCTGCCCCCCTCCAGACTTCCCATATTTTTTACAGCACAGATTATACTGTAATTATTACATTCAATTGAATAATTTAGAAGTACAGGCACAAACACATTTTTTTACAAAGAAAAACAAAAGCTTCTGCTGAAAACTGGTACCATGGTGACACAAGACATTCTCCAATGCAAATCTGAATTCCTAGTTCTCTACCTCTGTAGCTTTCGAGCTTTCTGTGTTGAACTCATCTCACAGTGATTTGGCAGAAAGAGGATCCCAGCACAACTGTCACAAATAAGTATAACATGATTCTGGGCAAGTATTAATGTACACGCTTTCTGTTCATGTGGGGTACAGTTCAGGTCTGCTGAACCCAGACATATATACATACAGCTGGACTAATGTACAAACTGAGGAAACCATAGCTTTGAGGCTCAGATGATAGTTGTTGTTTGCTGTTGTCATGTGCCTTCAACTGATTTCTGACTCACAGCATCCCTAAGGCAAACCTATCATAGGGTTTTCTTGGCAAACTTCTTCAGAGAGGGCTTGTTGTTGCCATTCGTCTGAGACTGAGAGTGTGTGACTTGGGTTACCCAGTGGTTTCCATGGCAGATGATAAGGAATCCCTAAATTATTAAGGTAAATTATTAAACTGCACACAGTTCTTACAAACATGCACATTTTTATCATGTCGTGGGGCTCTTCAATTTGATATAGCTAAGGGCTTCAGCATGTCTTCAACTGACCCTAGGCCCACAAGAACCAAGGTTTCTGCTCTCAGAATTCACTCAAGAACCCACTGAAGTCATATACTGCAAAGAAATGTGATAACCAAAGCTAGATGGAGATGGCTCAGGCCCTGGAGCAGTTCCAAAATGGGGTCCTCTTTGTGCACACCTTCTAGAAGTGCTGGTATAGAAATTAAACAGATAAATGAATAAACACTAAAAGAAATATGCAGCGCAATAGACTGCAGCACATAAATGTTTTGAGTCTAGCAGCCTGATCTCATGCATTTCTATTCCATTACTAATATAAAATTCAAAAAATGAATGACAATAGATCTGTTGGGAGATTCAAGAA